GGTCCCCTAATTATTTTAATCCCAAGGATTAAATCGGCCAGCCCCATATCCTTCATGTCAAATTTAACATGTTTTTGGTAGAATTAATCATTAGATTATTGCTACCCACGATGAGTATATCATCCACGTATAAACATAAAATGACATAGCCGTCTACCGTGCTCTTCACATAGACGCATTTTTCACTTTCGTTTATTTTAAACCCATTAATTAACATTGCATGATCGAACTTCTCGTGCCACTGTTTAGGGGCTTGTTTCAATCCATACAATGATTTAATTAATTTACACACTTTCCTTTCTTGGCCTGGAACACGAAAGCCCTCGGGCTGTTCCATATAGATTTCTTCGTCTATATCGCCATTTAGAAAAGCGGTTTTTACGTCCATTTGATAAACTTCCAATTTCCGCAATGCGGCAATTGCTAGTATCATCCTAATGGAATTTGTTCTCGTCACAGGAGAATACGTGTCAAAGTAATCATGACCCTCACGTTGCATGTATCCTTTGATTACAAGTTTGGCCTTGTACTTATCGATGGAACCGTCAGGTTTCATTTTCCATTTAAAAATCCACTTGAATCCCAAAGGTTTATTTCCCGAAGGAAGATCAACCAATTCCCATGTGTGTGATTTTTAAGGATAGAATCCACCTCACTTTTGATGGCTTCTTTCCACATAGGACCTTCGGTAGACTCCGTGGCTCATTTTCTACCAAGCATGTTAGAAAATCTGGTTCATTTTCTACCATACATGTTAGAATATATGAGTCAAATTCTACCAGGTAGGTGAGAAAATCCGGTCCGAAGGATTTTTCAACTATAGCACTTTTGCTATGTCTGGGTTCGGGTTCTTCTTCGGAGCCCTCGCTGGTATTTTCAATAGCTACGTCAAATGTTCGTTTTGACGTGCTTAGTCCTTCGTTGGACTTGCATGGAAATGCGTCTTCAAAGAATGATGCATTCCGTGATTCAATTATTGTGTTTTTATGTACATCCGGATTATTCGAATCGTACACTAAAAACCGATAAGCACTACTATTTTGTGCATATCCAATAAAAATACAATCCACCGTTTTTGGACCTATTTTTATTTTCTTAGGTGTTGGTACAAGCACTTTTGCCAGACACCCCCACACTTTTAAATATTGATAGGAAGGCCGTCTGCCTTTCCACAACTCGTACAGAGTTTTATCATATTTTTTCCGGGGAACCTTATTTAAAAGGTAATTGCTTGACAAGACTGCTTCGCCCCACATATTTTATGGCACGCCCAAACTTATTAGCATCGCATTCATCATATCTTTCAATGTGCGATTCTTTCGTTCGGCAACACCGTTTGATTGAGGTGAATAGGGTGCAGTACGTTCATGTACTATACCCACGTTCGCGCAAAAGTCACCAATTGGTGCTTCATACTCACCACCTCGATCACTTCTAACCGCTTTAATCCGTCGATTAAGTTGGTTTTCCACTTCATTCTTATAAAGAATGAATTTATCGATTGCTTCGTGTTTGTTTTTTAATAAATAAACGTAGCTATAGCGAGTGCTATCATCGATAAAGGTAATAAAATATTTATTACCGCCACGTGTTTGTATGGATTTAAAATCACAAACGTCACTATGAATTAATTCAAGTGGTTCTGTTTTTCTTTCAACCGATTTGAAAGACGTTTTCGTTAGTTTTACCTCTACACAAACTTCACATTTGTGCTTCACATCAATTGTGAATTTAGGAATGTGCTCCATGTTAATTAATCTACGTATAGAATTAAATTAACATGTCCTAGTCTACCATGCCACACATTAGAAGACTCAAGCAAGTAAGCAGAAGGTATTTTATTATTATTATTATTATTATTATTATTATTATTATTATTATTAGTCATTACATTGAGCTTAAACAGCCCATCAATTCCATATCCCTTGCCCACATACATTCCCGATTTAGACAAAACTAATTTGTCCGACTCAAAAACCATGCGAAAGCCATGCTTGTTCAACAACGAGCCGGAAATCAAGTTTTTGCGTATCTCCGGAACGAACAACACTTGGTTTAGAGTCAGCTCCTTGCCCGAAGTAATCTTCAAGACCACCTTGCCCACGCCTTCAATCGTGGAATGAGCCGAGTTTCCCATCCACACCTTCTCACCATTTGATGGCTCAAAAGTAGTGAATAACTCCCGGTTTGAGCAAATATGCCGGGTTGCACCGGTGTCCACGAACCACTCCTTGGAATTGGATCCAACGAGGTTGACCCCGGTCACCACGGCCGCCAGGAGGATGTCTTCATCCTTTTGCCCACCTTGCACCAAGTTCACGTGAGAATCTTTCTTCCTCTTTGGTGCCTTGCAATCCGCAGACTTGTGTCCGTTCTTGTTGCAATTGAAGCATTTTCCATTGAACTTCGTCTTGGAAACGCCTCCCTTGGGACCGAGCTTGCTCTTCCCATTGTTCTTGTTTTTGGAGCCTTTTGCATGCTCCACCACGTTGGCCTTGACGCCGTTAACAATTGGGAGTTTCCCATCGTTCTTCCGGTTATCCTCTTCAATCCGCAGACGGAGGATCGGTTGCTCCAAGTTCATTTCCTTTCGCTCATGCTTAAGGTAGTTCTTGAAATCCTTCCAAGCAAGCGGCAATAAATGGATAATTGACGCCACTTGAAAAGACTCACTAACTGTCATTCCTTCATCTCGAATTTCGTTGAAGATCATTTGCATTTCCTCAACTTGACTCAAGACCGTCTTTGAATCCACCATTTTAAAATCAAGGAATCGGCCGACAACAAATTTCTTTGCACCGGCATCCTCGCTTTTATATTTGTGGACCAAAGCATTCCATAGCTCCTTAGCCGTAGCTAATTTGCTACACACGTTGTACAAAGCATCATGCAGCCCGTTCAACACATAGTTTCGACAAAGGAAGTCAGAATGCTTCCAAGCTTCAACATATATAGTACCGAGAACAGAAATATATCTGTTCTTATATGATATGGGTGTGATGTCTTGATATTCAACGGGGTTTTCGGTAGATGAATGTAAGCCGTAACGGGACTTACACGTAACGAAAACCACGCTCTCGCTGCCTTAACCGGAGTTGAGAATATATTAGCGACATTGTATTCATAATTATTGGCGAAGAACTAATATTCAACCCTATTAAAGCATTTAAGTGATTCCTGAAGCCTTAGTTGTGGTTATTATTCATCTTAAACTCAAAGTTAGTTAACGATTATCTTTTTGAACAAAAAGTGAAAATCCAAAAATATAAACACAAATCAAAATCCCTACACTTTACTCATTTATTTTTCATCTACTCTCGGACTAAATTAAACAACGTTTCCTTGTGGATTCGACTCGGTATTTCACCGGAATTTATTACTATATCGGGACTTATACATTTGCAAGCTTTTGTTTACAAATTAATTCAAGAATTGATGGATATAAAAAAGTTAAAGTAAATTTATTTGAAATATGTAGTACAATTGAGAATTGGGAAAATTTTAAAACATGAAATACATTTTCTAATAAATAATAATCAATTGGAATCTTTGCCGTCTTCGGTCGTTTCCTCCATAAAGTGGCGGGTGGGGGCGATGCTCACTTCTTGAGTTCTACGTTGGGCCTTCAACAAATTGTGGAAGCAAACAAGCGTCTCAAGAGAGTTTGTGCTCAATCTCATTCCATAATCTGTTAGCACGTTGCCGGCCGCACTAAATTCTTGTTCCACGACAACTGTTGATATCGGCATTGCTAAAACTTGCTTAGCCATCTTTGATAAAACCGGGAACGTTCTTTCTATTTCCTTCCACCACTTTAGAACGTCAAAGTTATCCCTTCTTCATACTCAACAGGAAATGTTAGATACATAGAAAGCTCGTTAATCGAGCTTTGTTCTGTAACGACAGTTGATTTACTTTTCTTCATAAGATTGCCAAATGTAGATTTAAAAAATGATTTTCCTTTAGATGAAGATGCTCGTGTCGGGGGAGGGGTTGTGTTACCATATTGTGCATGAAACTCATTAAATAATTGATAAAATAAATTATTAACCCCGTTGAATTCTTGTTTAGGGTCTATGGGCTTATCGCCGTACATAGGAAATAGACCAAAAAAAGATTCATAATTGTAATCTAAACACTTTCCCAAAGCATCGACTCTAAAACGAGGATCAAGAATAAATGAAATACCGTATATATGCGGAATATGTGAATAATATTTTAAAAAAATTTCTTTCATGAAAGAGCAAAAATAACTAGGGTATGCGGCATCAGAAAATTCACAAAATGTTCCGGCGAGATTAACAGTTTCAACAAAAAATTGGTTTGTGGTAGGTGTATAAACATGACTAAAAGTTTGGGTTGCATTATTAAAAAATACCGAAACATTCACAATTTTTTGCATAGTGCCGATCTCAACCGGGTTTATAATATAGTTAGCATATTCTTTATCTGATAACGTGGAGCTCTCATACAGACCCGTCGACCATATATTGCGTCATCATCTTTATTTGATGACGTGGAGCTCTCATACAGGCCTCTCAACCATATATTGCCCCGTCATCTTTATTTGATGATGTGGAGCTCTCATACATGCCCCTCGGCCATACATCGCTCTGTCATCTTTATTTGATGACATGGAGCTCTCATATAGGTTCCTCAGTCATATATTGCCTCATAGAGACGTTTGGGACTTTTCCCAACGGCTAGGAGGATCAATTAATCACTAGTTTTTTTTTAAATGTAGCCATTGAGGCCCGAGCCGATTCATTTTTTGAAGATCCGGAGCCCGTCCTGAAATAATACGATTCGGGTGTACAGGATCGGGTCCGGACACGGGGTACCGGGCCGGGCCGGGCCGGTTGACCCGGACCAGGTCGATTGACCCGGACCGGATCGGTTACGGGCCGGTTGACCCAGCCTGAATCCATCCCTAGTTTTAAAGGACTTTTTTAATTCGAAAAGGGTACTTGTATTTATTTAAAACTTAAAAAGCCAAGTAGGTAGGCCCGTCTGACCATCTGTGTACGAAGTCTGAGATGAAATCGCAAAATTCCCGGCTATTTTGCCTGCTTCTGAGCGGAAAAAAACTCTGCGGAGATGAACTGAAGTGTTGTGAAGAAACACAAGGAAGCGCACGACCACATTTTCCGGGCACACGCTATCGCATTCCTTTCTCCACAAATAAACCACTCTAACTTCCACCTTTTATTAATCATGCAACTATCGACACACTCACACACACGCAAATTGGATTGATTTCTTTCACTCCTGTTTCCGTTCCGTATATAAATGGATCTCTGCTTTTTCATCCCTTACGATCACGCCGACTCTTTCACTCCAATGTATGTGTTTGGAACCTTGTTACTCCCTGGTTTTATATAATATTTGTGTGGGGAGATTCAACTTTGAATTGCATGTAAGATGTTCGATGAATTGTGCTGAGAAATGGTAGTTGTTACTGGTATTTGAACAGTTTTTTCGAGGCGGAGGGGAAATGGCCGCAGCTTCAAACCCACAGTGCGCGAGAAGTAACGACGCAAACAATTCTTCCAATCAACACTCTATCGATGATATTGAATGTGACCAGATTGTTGTCCCAGATGTCAGCATTTTCTTTTTCTCTTTAGAATCTTTTTTTCAGCTGATTGGATATTGTATCCGTTGCCATAACTCTGTGGTGATATCAGTGTTTCTAAGGAAAATGCGATGAATACAACAATATGAAAAACTAATTTAACCAACGAGTTAAAAAAGTTAATGCGGCAAATGTGATTAGCACTGATGGCAAGGTGATATGCTGTGTTGTGAAACATGGTTTTGCCAAGTGTAAGATTTGCAGCACTTTTTATATGCGTTGTTTGTACTTGTAGCATAACCCTTTTCTAATTGAACTCTCTGAGTCGGTGCGCATTGTGCTGGAACATCAGCATAAAAAGAAAGAGCCACACGCCCACACACATGGCGTGACTATATAGCGCACCAGATCACTTCTTGATTCTAATTATAGGTTGAAATTGCTAGATTTAAGAGCTCGTGTTTGGTATGTTTTAAAACCAAGATGGCAGTTTGTCAATTACTTTCCAATTTATTTTGCAGAAAAAGGGGTGGAAGAAGTTTTTGGCATATTTGGGTCCAGGATTTCTTGTTTCAATTGCTTATATTGATCCTGGAAATTGTGAGTCAATCAATCTAAATTAGCTTTTGTTACCATTAAACCAAATATGTTATTATGGCTGGTTATGATATTAGCATGTTTTCTACTTTGGTAGTTCAAAGTGACCTCCAAGCAGGAGCTCAGTACAAATATGGGGTGGGTGACCACAATTATTTATTTTCACTATCTTTTTAGTGTTTACAGTTTTCATTTGCAGTGTTAGACTTCTTTACCTTCTGACGTTTGCCAAACATACGATGATCACATGCCTTAGTTATTTTTTTTCAATTCTTTGCTAGTTACTGTGGATTATATTGGTAGCTTCATTTGCTGCTGTTATTGTCCAAATGCTGGCAGCAAACCTTGGAATTGTTACAGGTTCATTTAATCTCTTAGAACTGTATCTTGGCATGTGTCTAATGTTTAACACTCATAGTACTCTCAAATCTGAACTCTCTGTTTGGTTCTTTTGTCCATTTTTTAAAATGTTATTCATCGCAGGAAAGCATTTAGCTGAACACTGTAGACAAGAGTATCCAAAGGTCTTGAGTTTTATCTTGTGGATTATAGCCGAAATAACTATAGTTGCATGCGACATCCCCGAAGGTAAATTTCCATGTTAGTTCTCCTTATGTCAATGTCACACATGTTGATATGAATCTTTCTAATTCTTCCTATTATTTATTTATTGTTTGTTTGTTTATTCGTTGTTTATTTAGTTGTTTGTTGTTTTTTGTTTTATTTCAGTGATTGGAACGGCTTTTGCGCTGAACATGCTCTTCAATATAGTGTTATGGTGTGGCGTGCTAATCACTGGCCTTAGTACATTGGTCCTACTATTACTGCAGCAATATGGGGTAGTTCTTTATTGAATAAATGCAAAATAGAGACTCTCCATCTTCCATAACTGTCGTTTTACAGGAAAAAGTTAAACTAGTTTCACTTTGAAATACTAAGAAAGCATCAGTCTCTCTTTTTCCACCATTACCCTTCTTCATCCATTAATGATCCATAGTAACTTTGAAGACATTAGTATAGGTATTTTAATCATATTATAGAACGCAGGGAGTACTATTTTTTAGTTTGATGAAAGTTAAAACGAGTTTCAAACATGTTGTAGGTGAGGAAACTTGAGATCTTTATTGCTTTGCTTGTGTTCACAATTGCTGCATGCTTCTTTGTGGAGCTTGGATATGCAAAACCTAAATCATCGGAAGTTTTACATGGTCTTTTCGTTCCACAACTTGAAGGAGATGGAGCCACTAAGCTAGCTGTCTCACTTCTTGGTGCTATGGTTATGCCGTACGTATTTCTTCAACTAATTTGGAATGATCTTTTTTACCTTTCTGATCTTGATTATTCATTAAATGGTATAGGCATAATCTTTTCCTCCACTCGGCACTTGTGCTTTCTAGGAAAATCCCCCGGTCTTTTAATGGCATCAAGGTACTATTATATGTGATGGAGTACACATCTAGTTTCAGACCCCCCCCCCCCCCCCCCCCCCGGTCTTTATACAATATTACATCGGCTAAATTTATTTGAAAACATGCCAACATTGAAAAAGAAGTCTCTCTGACTTAACAATGGATTTGCAGGAGGCAAGAAAATTTTATTTGATGGAAAGTGCATTGGCATTAATGGTGGCATTTCTGATCAACGTTTCAGTTATTTCAGTTAGTGGTGCGGTTTGCAATTCACCAGATTTGGACAATGCTGACAAACTCAAGTGCCAAGACTTGGATTTGAACAAAGCTTCATTTTTGCTTAAAGTATCCAACTCTTTAGTTTATGTAATCATATCATGGTAAAACTTCATTAAGCTTGTGATGATGATAATCTTCTACTTATCTTTGCAGAATGTTCTTGGTAGATGGAATTCCAAGCTTTTTGCAATTGCTTTGTTGGCTTCCGGGCAGAGTTCTACCATTACCGGGACATATGCTGGACAATATGTCATGCAGGTTGTTCTATCATTTCATCATCATGTCATCATCACCATCATCTTTATGTCTCTCTCATTTACGATGTGATTTGTTGCACGTACAGGGGTTTCTAGATTTGAAGCTGCAGCCCTGGATTAGGAATTTTCTGACTCGATGCTTAGCAATTATCCCAAGCCTTATTGTCGCGATCATCGGCGGGTCAAATGGTGCTGGAAACCTAATTATCATTTCATCGGTATTAGCTAGATTCTTGGCTTTTCCTTTTGTTCTAACAAAGAGAATCCTTTTTTTTTGTTTTTGTTAAGAAGCTTGACCTTGTGTGTATCACAGATGATTTTATCATTTTCGCTTCCTTTTGCACTCATTCCTCTTTTGAAGTTCACAAGTAGTAGATTGAAGATGGGTGTACACACCAACTCATATTTTGTAAGATTTGTCATATATTTTTAAGTACAGCTTTGTTCTTTCACTTTATTATGCAGTGGGATATATAATTGTATGCTAACATGATATCTTTTTGTGGGGGGCAGATTTCAGCCTCAACATGGGTTATCGGGGCTCTTATAATAGGCATCAACGTGTACTATCTAGTAGAGAAATTAGTTATATCTCTTCGTAGCAGCCATCTTAAATTTGTGGGAACTGTGTTTTGTGGGATCTTGGGATTTTCAGCCATGTTCGTGTATTTGGCCAGCATTGCTTATTTGGTGATTCGGAAGAACAAGGAAGGTGGTGCGCACTTGCTAGCACTGACCACGTCTGAAATCCCTGCTACCACCATTGCTTCAGGTGACTTTTCCGTGCATTGTGATGCGGGGAAAATTAGCAAAACAAATATAAATAGTGCCTCAAAGGTTTAGGTTTTCGAATCGTGAAGAGCAAGTTTATTATGAATATTATCAAGGATTAAAGATGGTGTTGGAAACATGATATTGATACGCTATTAATGTACATAAATTGTGAATGGAGTATGAGCATATTACGAAGATTTTAATGCATGACAAAGAATAAATTTTATGTTTGCACTACCCTTTTATATTGATTCACAAAATCTAAGGTAAGATGTATGGTAAAGAACATGTTTCAAAATATTATGTTAGTTGGGTTGAGTCCTATTCCACATGATTGCTGCATTTTGTTGTGCCAAGGACATTTCCACATGTTTTGCCACTCAATCATTTTTTTTTTGTTTTTTCCCCGGAGCAAACCACCCTTGGTGGGGAAGTGCACTAGCAACTGAAATTTCTAGATGGAATTCCAAGTGTAGTTGATACATTCTTGTTGTATTTGTTATGGAACCTAATCGCATTCTTCAGATATGGTTAGCTTTATATTTCTTGAGAGCTGCATCCAATTTGTATGGTGAGTCGAATCTCGCGTCTACCGGGTATAAGAAGTAGTCGGTTTCATCTCTGGGTTTCTTGGAGTGACTTCTAGTAACCATGGGGTGAGAAGAGTAGCCCACCTCATAGTATAGCTGAGGGTCCTCTCGAATCGGTTTATTGACTTTGCTTTTCCTGTTTCTCACCTCCACGAATTCATCAGGTCCTTCCTCCCCACTTCGTGGTTTTCCTGTAACATAAAAACAGAGTCAAGTCCTTTCCTTTTTATCACTCTGTCTCAATTTCTTTGTCTAATCCTTCATTTTTGCTCTCAGTCCCACTAAATTTGTCGTACATCATATCTGGTAAAATTTAGGTGGCTCTAAACTTTTGTTACTTTATTATTTCAATATCAACCACATAATTTTATATTTCTTAATAATCTTGCCATTTGCTCATTCCCAATCTTAGTGGTATGGATGGACTCGGGTCCGGGCCGGGGCCGGGCCTAGGCCCGGGCGGGCCGGCGGGTCAGAAATGGTGGACCCGGGACCGGCCCGGGTAACCACCGGGTCCGGTCCGGGTCCGGACCAGGCCGGGCCCATTATATTTTTTTTGTTTTCCTTTTCCTAATTAACCCCCCTCCCACCCCCAACCCCCCAAACCACCCCAAATGACCCAAAATACCCAGCCCAACCCGAAAATTTAAAAAATGAAAAAAAAAATTGTTTTTGGCTTGAACTGGGCCCGGCCGGGTCGGGCCTTGTTTTGGGTGACCCGAGCCCGGATCGGAAAACCCACGGGCCGGGCCTACCCGGACCGGTCACTGACCGGGCCGGAACAGTACCGGTCCCGGGTCGGGCCACCCGGCCCGAGTCCATCCATACTTAGTGGGATGGGTGTATTATAGATTAAAAATATTACGAATTGGGTGTTCTTACAATATTTGGTTTTCCTATTATTTTAAGAGCCAGTTAGATAACACTGAAAGTGGCTGAATCAGTTGAATTTGCTGAAATTGATGAGATTGTAGCTGAATTTGCTAAATTATGGATAAGTTATATTTTAGATATGTTTTATCAATAAAATAATGAAAAGTATGCATGAAAAACAACTAAAATGGTCATCTCCAATAACTTTAGCCAATTCAGTAAGAAAAATAACTTCAACCTTATTTATTTTAATTACTAAACAATGCAGAGCGCGAAAATAAAAGTTACGTATTTGATATAAAAAAAATGACTTATGGCCGATAAGATGACAATGGGGTGATCAAATAAGCTCTAAAACTCCTAATTCAATTGACTACTTTTTACAAAATTTGTGTCATAAATTCTATAATTTTTACTTGATTTGGACACCTACACCCTTACTTTAAATAAATCTTGCCTTTTCTTTTGACTAATAACTAATAAGTAGTATGTGCTTCATTCTTATATACATAACACTCACTTATACAGTCTTTATTTGACTAAACTTTGTATAAGTTAAACCTATAACATTTAATGGGACATATGTACAAGTGTACAACAAGAGAGTAGTGCTCTTATTTCATTAGAATCAAATTTCAATAATTTTCCTATAAGGCTATAAGTATGGAGGAATTCTCATATGTTAAATACATTTCTGTTGGAGGTGTAAGAACTCGACGGGTGGGGGCGATAACACTCGTCGCCAAAGTAAGGGGAATAGTGAAGGAGTCTTCTGCCCAAAGGAAAGTTTGCATGGAAAATGAAAGATTGAAGTAGAAAAGAAGGCGTATTGCCGAAGGCACGAGGATGAGTATTAAGCAAGTGAAAATATAAGTGATCCCAAGGTCATATTATTGGATAAAAAATGCTACTTGTGTAAAGGAAACAGACAATTGATTTTCATTTTAGTAAAGGAAACAGTTTGTGACTCCAAAAAGAGAATTGTATGTGCACAGACAATTCGGGATCACATACATTTTCCTTTACTAAAATGAAAATAAATTGTTTGTACACGGACAAAATACACTATGTGTAAACAAGCATGTAAGAAGTGATGCAGATGATGATTGGATATAATGGACGTTTTACTAAGTCAGGAGAACTGAGAAGTTGGATGGAGGACATTTCCATCTTAATTCATTTACATTTTTCTTCATCTCATTTACTTTCTATTTAGTCTAAGTATTTTTTTTTTGCATAGTTAGGGTAACTAGTGCTTTTGGCTGGTCAGGAGTACTCAAGAGTGATAGAAGTACGGGAACCATCAAGATCATAAGCAATTTCAATACTCTTTTAATATTGCTCTCATGATTGCAAGGTTAATTTTGGGTTTCATCTTGTGGGTTTATTGTCATTGCTCCTATTCCAACAATACTCCCTCATTCTTTACTTCTGTCACCTCATGTTGTCAATGAGATTAAGAAAAGCAATAGGGGATAACAATTATGGCAAATAAAAAACGAAATAGTGGAAAAAACGACAATAAAACATTCTGAGGGGTAAGGGTATTCAAGATAGTGCATGGGGCCCAGAATCCAGACAATGTATTGTACATTTGTACTCCATCCGTTCCTATTTTATTTTCCAAATAGGGTTGAAACACAATTTAAGATAGTGGATATTGTGTGGTGGAGAGTTGTGCAGAGGAGAGAAAAATGTTTAAAAAATGTTGTGAACCACAAATTCTTTACTAAAAAGGGAAAGTGGAAGTTTTAATCGAAACGGAGGAAAAAGGAAAGTTATAAGTTTTAATAAGAATGGAGGGAGTAGTTACTTGCTGAATACACTAAGAAATGCCAAGAGTTTTTTAAGGATTCATAGCATAGTAATCATAGTTGTCATACAAGGTGTCGCTTTCATGATAAAATATAGGCAAAAAAGTTGGGCAGATTTAAAACGATGATTCCAGGCCTCCGCCACCTGCTCCAGTTCCATTTCAGAATATACACGCAATTAAATATTTGCTGGCCAAAACTAGACCTTGAGCCCAAGCAAAATGAGCTGGCTTGGAACAATTGAAACACATTGCCTCACTAGCTTCTTTTAACACCCTTAGCCTTTGTGTCAAAAACCAAAGCCTTGACGGAGAGCCGTGGTTTTGTACTAAACAGTTCCTTTGGAAGAATTGACACACCACCCACCACTAAACCATCAGAAGTTCCAGAAAGCGGTAGTAACTCAATAAGGACAGCAAACTGTAAAAAGTATCAATGTGTTCAATAAATCAAAAAACACCGACAAGCAAAATCATCACATTTCTCAATAAACAGGAAAAAATTTCACCTCTGGGTACTTTAGATCTACTACTGAATTGGGGATAATATCTTTTACAATTGCTGCAACAACACCAAAGCATTTAGTACGGTCCAGCAAAGTAGAAATATGATCATTTTTGTCACTGTGTGTATTTTTCATCCCAGAATCTTCAATGCCCCTCCTGTTATATCCCACTGCAAACTACAAAAACGGGTTTCATATGACATACTCATTTGCAAATGGGGAATGGGGCAATGAAGAATTCAAGTAACTAAAGTTATTTAAATAAACTAATTATAGTCTGTCAAGTATATCTGCAATTGAAATGATATTTTTAAAGAAAAAAGCTATTTGTACACATTTCTTGTACCCCCCCCCCCCCAATTGCCTGTTCACACAGGCAGCTCAATCAGACAACTAGGCGTATACAAGGAATGTGTACAAGTAGCACCATCCATTTTTTAATTCTTCTTTCATAGAAATAACTTACAAAGAAAGACCAAAATTCACATTTGACATTTGTCCATCTGGGAATAAACCAATTCCCATGAAACTGATATGTGTACTGCTGCACTATCTCAAATGCAATTGCAAACCAGTTCAGGAGCTGTTTCAAGAATTTTAGCATTTCTTTTTAACTGGCCGTTAGGTGTTCAAGAAAAGTTAAGCAATAACTTACTAATTCATATGAGTATATGACGTTGCAACCCCATGAAATTCAGTTTTACAAGTTTGATGGTAGTGGACGTAGTATGGTTCAAGGCTTAGAGAAGTAAGCATTTTAAAATTAGTTTCGTTTAATAATAAAGTAACAATATAATATAAAAACTGAAACATATATATATATATATATATATATATATATATACATACTAGCAAGGTACGCGCCATGCGCAAGGAAATGTGCCCAATCTAAATAAAATGACTTCAATAAAGGACTGAAAAAATCTTAAAGTTTTAATGATCCTCTTTTGCTAATTGGCTGTCTAAAAAAAATAAGTTCATAAGAAAATAATTAGTGCTAGCTAACCTAAACATGTTAGTTAGAGCTTCACTTCATACATGATGGATATGGAATATATGAAATAAGCTATAATTTGCTTATTGAGAAACATGAATGTTATTTCCAGGAACAAAATAATAACATATGACAAAAAATGACACAACTACACAAGGTACCTTGAAATAGATAACAAACTACATTTCTTACCTCTAAAGTTTCAATGTTCAAGGTGTCAACTTCATGACATATTGAAACAGAAATACAGAATCATCATCTCGCAGTGAGAAATCACATTGATACAATTCAATTCAATCCATTACTAAAAGCATAGATAACATCTTAGGCTCTCTTTGAAGCATGGGAACTATAGGTAAAGACAATACAGATGAAAATATAGAAGATATTTGGAAGTAAAGAAACTGTGTGGGCTTGAGAGAGTTAATTAAGTCTCAATTTTTTCCTGTTTGTTAAACTATACAGAGACCAAAAGATTTACACATCTGTAAGTAAATTAAAATATTAATCATATATTACAACTTTCTTTGTATCTTTGTGGTAAAATCATACACATGTATATAGATTTTCAAAGCATTTTTCCAGATTTCCCAGTATTTCCCACGATTTAAACATATCCTTAAATGGTTTCATATAACATCTTCTTTTTTTTGCAATATAAACATATCCTTAAATGGTTTCATATAACATCATTACAATGTTTGACATCCCTCATACTCAAACTATTGTTCTGTTGGAGGTCAAGTATATAGTGATCATGTGACTTTCTAGTACAAAAAAGAAACAAAGAGCATGCAACAGAAGTTAAATTTGCAACATAAGCAACTCTATTGCAAAATGGGTTCCGTTGTTCATGACATAACCAGAAGTGTGATAGGAAGAAAACCAGTAATTAATCAAGCAAACTCAACAAAACTGAAATGAAACTGACATGAGTTGCGTATTGTGTGGTACTAACCAGCTTATACGGTCTAGCAGTATCACAATCCAGAAGAGAAAGGAAAAATTATTAGTTATTACAACATGCAAGAAAAAATAGCCTTTTGAAGCGTTTTGAGGCACTTTCAGCAGAGTATAATACTACGTAGCTTTTTTTAAAATGTTACACTATTAAATAAATAGCATTTTATTATCAACTATTAAATACGCCATGCGTCTCTAAAAACTTTGCTATCTTTGAAACTTTGACCAACTATATATTTTTATGAGAAATTATTATAATATGAAAATGTTCTTTATCAAAAGTTCTTTCATAAAAGTATAAAATTTATAACTTCCATAACAATATATTGTTCAAAATCATGGTCTAAATTTTATGAGATGGCAAAGTTATAAGGGACGAAGTAATATATGTATAGTAAGGAAACTGTGACATTTTCTTAAATCTCTAAACCTTTTACAATACTTTCTTTCTCACCTTATTCTTCCCAGTCTTGGGAAAAGAATAAGACTATGAGAATAGCTCTTTCAGTCAAGACGGTAAAGATCAAAGTCCAATCATCACGGTAGGATTTTCCTCGGTTCTCAACGTGGGATATAAATAAGGGATTTGAATCCTCTGCCGTAAGGCAAAGTGCCTTGCGGAAGTGGACGGCCAGATAGCAACGATGACGGCCTCGAGATCGGCGAAAAAATGGTCCCCAAGATCTCCCACCGTTGAATTTTTTATCGGAGGATTGTGAAGAGCCAGACACCCTACCTTGCTCTAAAGCAAGGTAGAGGCTCCGGATCCAGAAATAAGCATGGATCCAACTGATGTTCCATAAGAAAAAGAAATATACACTATTGGATTGCATTGCAACCGAAAATAGACCTTAATTCGTCTGACCTTAGAGGAAGTACTTCATATTTATGAATTCAAAAAAAGGCAAAGATCATTGTGAAACCTCATTAGAGCAAGTTTTTTTTACAATTTTTTAAACTGAATTTGGTAATAGGTGAAAAACAATTCACAGCCTTTCTGATTGACATGATGTGAAGAAAATATGATACTCGGTTGAAATTTGAATTACTACTACTCTCTTCTTCATACAAACAAGAAGATATGAGCTAAACGAGTGAGAGTATCCTACAGCTAGGGAAGAGTATCCTACTTTGATAAAAGCCTTAATTTGACCCATTTTATTATATATGGGGCATCAATCTCAGATTCTCAGCTGCCACACCAAATAATAAGCCACGAGCTGGAAACGTATTCTTACACCATATATCAAAATTCGAAGAATAAAACAAGGGGCCAAGGGGATGGCAACAAGGACTAAGTTTAGATGAAAAAAATACAAGATAAGAGCAATGGAATTCAAAATCGTAGTCAATAATGGCAGTATTTAAATTTGTCAAAACAAAATTAACGGCACTTACAAACAAATGAATCAGTAAAAGAAGGGAAAGAAGACAAATCTGGCTAACTCATATGTAGGGATGGAGTGGACATCATGAGTCAGTCTATTGATAAACCAATACCACAAACAAGGGCCAAGCGGAAGGAGAAATACAAAAGGCTGAGGAGAAAAAAGTAAGTCGAGAATGGCGTCGAGTGCAACAAGGCTTGATTTCTCAAAGAGGAAAAACAAAAGATGACCAGACGGCATGAGGAACAGAGAAGACGGAAGGTTGGGTTGACGGAAAAAGGGTGGAAATTTTGTGACGGCATCCAAGTGACTCTTTATATAAGTAGTATATATATATATATATATAATTAAAATCAAATGCCTTAGTTGCTTCAGTCTTGATTATTTCTTGCAAAAAACAAAAAAGTGCTTGTTTTGGTTGGTAATCAAATTCAGAGTTTAAGTTTTAGGACAGCTTCAAAGTTTTATCAAACATTGGTTGCAGTTTTATCATAGTTGAAATCGCATTTGGTTGGCATTGATTTTGATGTTCACTTTTTTTATCAAAGTCTGCTCATGTGTACAACTTTTGATGCTGTCTGCTGGTTGGTCACTTGAAAAGTGTTGATTATTACTTTTAGTGCAGCAATAGATGTCTATATATGATGTAGCCAAAGACTCACTATTTCCAATGGAGCCAATGACTCACTATTTTTTGTCTTGGAAATCTGATGGAATAAAGCAAAATGGCTCACTAAACTGTTTGACGCAATTTTCATCGTGGGTCATCCGGAAAGAGTCTCTTTGTGCTTTAGTACAAGGGTAAGGCTGCGTATATCCGAATCGCCTTACCCCACCATAGGTGGGAGCCTTTGCAGCACTGGAGTAATGCTGCTGCTGTAATAGATGTCTATCTGAGAAAATCTTCAGTTGATCGTGTAATTGGTTTCAATTTTTCTTGTACTGTGTTTTAGTTTCTATTAAGTTGATCACTTTAGCTGGGATTTTCAGTAACCGGATTGAGTATGATGGAGGATGGATTGGCTGCCATGTCTCAGTGTCTCTCTGAGTTGGAGACAGCCTAAGGGTGTGGGAAACTGGTAATAACTTCCTAAGGAGTTTACAGAGCTTCTGATGAATGATTTTACAGGAATTCCTAGAACTGATAACTGTTGGCTTTGTGTAATATTGATATCTTCTGGGCAGTACCCTCGTACTCATCCAAAAAGATACATCTATAATGCAAAATTAAGATATACAGAGAATTTACGATTTTACTTAAGTTAACTAGGAACAAATAGTTAAATACATAATGTAAGCATATAAACAGCAACTGCCTGACTTCTTGAGTGTGTAATAAATAAAAGAAATATGACAAATGGAGCCAAGGTTTAACTCATTATGTACACACATCCATATGAAATTACATATATGCAGTTACATGAATTAATATGCAACAATATAGAGTGAGATTCTAAGGATAATTTCATAGGGTTAATATACAGCACGGGGAAACCCAGTGTGACTCTAGTATTGCTTTAAATTAAAACCATTGAGTCGTTAGAATTTAAATGAAGTTTTGGTTTTTGAGGCACTGAATAAACTTTGTGCGCTGTTGGCATGCTTAACACATGCAAGTGGGACAGGAAGTGGAGCTTCCTGTGGCAGACAGTTAATGGTTAGGTTGAAAAGTTTGGTTTATATTTTGGACACCACTATGCAATAAAAACAACGAATGGACTATCATAATAAAGCAGCGAAGTAATTGCATTACCTTAACGGGTTGGCCAAGTTTGTTTTGATTGTCAATCATAAACCCATTAACAAGCTTGGGAACTATCATTTGAAGTCCTTTCTCATCTAAGACACATGTGCCTTGAATAGGGAATATTCGATGACACCAACTGCATCAATTGATGAAAACAACATGCTCATATCAAACAAAAGAATGTAAGAATATGCAACACGTTAAGATAAAGGTTTTCTAGCATGACATCTGCGATTTCTGATGGCATAAATAGATTAAAAAATGTACTATTGACATAAATGGCAATTCAACTTCAAGAATAGCAAGTGAACTACTGTTTCAGCAATGCAACAAAGCATGAGAGTACACTAGAAAGTAGTGGCAGTCAAGAACATCACAATTCAAGATCCTTCTCTAATAGGTGGGGTTACAATTCAAGATCCTTCTCTAACAGTTAAGATATACGGAGCATCTCATAAAATAACTAGATACTACTTCAGCATATCATTCTCTTTGGATAACTAAGCCATGAGTCAGATCAACATGCATCAGGGTGACGCCAGCACAAATTAGTTACGCAAACATACATCAAATGGTAAAATGATTTAATAAATAAATCTGATCTATCTAGCATTATTCCAGTATTTAATACTACAGCCTTTCTAATAATATATTTCCACTTCTTAAAAGGCCCTTTAATGAAAACACGAGCCTTAAGTTTTCTACGTTGTTGGCAAGGCACATCAAGGAAAAGTTTTCAGTCATGAAACAGGATCCAAATTCTTTCAGAAAAGCCGTACCAAAACCTAATGATTCCTCTATCTCATAGAAATGATGCTAGTATCAGAACAACTGCACAACTTTATTCTGATTCAGAAGTTCTAATTTCTGTTTTGCAGTACACCAGCATTTGACCACTTACAATCATGAGTGACAACAATATTCATTACAAGATAGAGCAATACAGGTAGAGCAAGAAAATAACATGTATCGCTCCCATCACCATTAAAAGAGCAATACCTGTAAAGAAAGGGATGCAGGGGGTAGGGGGTTACCGTGGGATGCATAAACTGTGAGATTCTAGAGACTGGACAATGTCAAATAGAATATTGACAATTGGAGGAGACTTTCCAAAAGGAAATGTTAAGAGAAGCAACCCACTTCTGGTCAGCTTCACTAGAGAAAGGTCAAGATTCTTTTCTGCATACATATCAGACTCTGCATGAAACATTTAATATACATTAAATCTACCTGCCACAATAAATTTGAATATTTGATAGCCCTATGCCCATCTTCCCTAACCAGCTCAGTGAACCTACTCGTTGTTTCAAGACTATTGCCTGACATTTCATTGCTACACCCAGACTCCTTGCAATCCAAGCTGTCAGGGTCTCCACTCCTAATGCAGAGTTTCCTTTTCTTTGAATCAGCATTTGGAAGATACTGCAAATGATATTTGTGACAGATGCTATTATTAATTAGTTAATTAGCTTATCGAAGATGGTTGACCAAGGTTTAAAAGGGCTAGTTCGGGAATCGAGGCGGTTTGTCCCAGCGAAAAGAGGCGTAAACCTTGAGGCGTAGTGAGGCATACGCCTCAAAATATAACAACAAATAAATAAAAAGTTTAAATAACTACAATCCAACTAAATATACTTATAATTATGTCCAAAAAGTATCAAACACAAATACATTATATGGGTCAAATTTTCAAACACAATAATTCAAAATGAGAATCCCAACACACAAACAAACACATCACACATTCACACATATGGCACAATTCAGAACCTGGAAGCTTAATTGCCATAACTTACAACTTTATCACCATCATCCCTAATACCTTATAGCCTTAACTCCATCATCCCTCTCAATATTACTATCATAATCCTCCCATTCTTATCATTGTGCAGGAGTATAAAAATATTTTGACAATTTTCACTTGCCAGAATTGTCAAGGTTTAGGAAGTACATGTGGACACATGTTTAATGTATGGGCCTTTAATTAAATAAAATTTCTTGGGCCTTATTTAAGTTACAACCACAAGAAAAAACATTAAACAAAGAAAATCCCACCTCAAAAAACGCCTTGAGGCGCGCCTCAAAGCTTATGCCCTGAATTTAAAGGCGTGAGCCTCTTATCTTGCTAAATAAACCTAAGCCTCAATACCTAATCTATGCGGCGCACATTGAGGCACGCCTCAGAACCCGCTTCTTAACCGCCCTTTAAACCATGTGATTGAGCAAAAAACACCCCAAAGAAATTGTGAATGCATGGGATGACATTCAGAATATAATAAGAAGAAAAATTCAAGAACTTTGAAGTTCCTGAGCATGAGGTGACAAGTACCAATAATCAAAATATAAATAATGATGAAGACAACACCAAAGCGCTAAGAGAGACAAGTATTTACGCTAGGCACTCTAGTTATAACTTAGTAATGAATATTCACAACACTGTAGACTGCAGTATAATAGCTATTTAACCAATAATACTATCACCAACTTTTTCACTATTTAAATGTTCACTTTGATGCCTGTTTTGTTTTTGTATATCCAGTAACATTTTGGTGTTTTAAAAAGACAATTGTTTACTTTGATGCCAAAAAAATTGTTGACTGGAATGTGATACGGCCCCAGGGAACCACATCTCACTATCACAGTATCAGAGTCTTCTAAAAAATCACCCAAACTACCAACGTCAAGTTTCTATGGTTTCTATCAAAGACAATGCTCTTCTTGCCTAAACTCTGTCAAGGATGAGTCTGCCAATCTGCCATATGGCCATATCTTATATCTTAACCACATTGAAAACAGAATTGAACATTTGCATATCCCTGGTTCAGTTTTACTTATTATAGTGCCGCAGAGAAAAAATAACTATTTTTGGAAGAGGGGGACGCAAAGTAAAGAGCAAGAAAACATGAGAGCATATCAATCTATTCATGTATATGCATACAAGGATTCCCGAGAACAACCTTTTCCAATATACAAATTGCTTCTTTTGTTGCACTTTTTTCCCTCTCTGATGAAAAGAAAGAAAACATCCATACATCCATTATATGTTACAGTGGTGACACACAGTACAATTAACTCAACTAAAAGTTTCAGCTTCTATCATTGTATGGGTATAGACTACGCTGTAACATTCAATCCATTAACATTTAACAGAGAAAGAAGATGATAAGCATTTAAGTTTCAATAGGGAAACAGGGTATGCCAGCATTATATGTGGAGGAGTTAACAACTAGGTGCTTGTAAAAGGTGCAGCGTGGAAAGCAAATTGCTAGTTTGGAGCAAGGGAGAGTAATCATAAGAATACGACATGAAGTAGACCATGTCTGATCAAGAGGATCGTGGGCAAGTGAGCTTTTGATGTGTGATCCATGAAAAGTAGATGCACATTGCACACACATAATGAAGGAAAACCAACCAGGCTACCAAAGAAGGTTTTGGGTTGTCCTACTACAGGTTTTCCTGTTGTCTTCATATCCATCCTAACCTTTTTTTTTTGTAAATCTAGAGACGGAAAATGGAAAGAGTCTGATCGGGCTCCATCCAAGTTTAACAGCATGGAAAACGGCACAGCTCTCCACCAAACTACACAATGAACCCAACTTGCTAAGGTTAGAGGCCGTATTGTATATTGTGATGCTCTTAACCCATCAAGAAGTTCACTACCACCATATTGACATCCCTAGGGGTATAAGTTCACCATGTTCTATGCATAAAAACAGACCACACGTTATAGAAAAAAGTGCAGTATGAAGTGTGTCATATACAGCAAAAAGAACAGCTCAGCTATCAGAGAAATAGTGCTGTAAATCCAATTCAACATCCATGCATCTGTGTTAATGTGTGTGTCATTGTGTTTGTTCACATATATATAAACATACTCCGTATATACATGCGTATGTACATACATAAGTGGTGAAAAACATGCATACACACACAGGCACATACACACATATGTTCACCAAAAATACATGTATGACACAACCCCGTAACACAGTAATCTAAATTTCTGGATAATAACACTGCTTGATTTGGTTTCAGATGAATGATTATGAGAGGGCACTGACTGAGGGGGCAGGTGATGAGAAAGCCACAGTGAGAGTGACGAAGGATAGAATAGGGAGCGTTGTAGTCGAAGCGAGGGATGCTGATCACAGTTGAATGCTGCTCCCATGGCTTCATTCCAAGTTCTCCGTCGTCATTTTCTGACCCTGCTGTTGCGTTTCCAGATTTCTCATCGCGGTCTTCTGTCATGTTTGAACTTTCGGAGTTCAATCACTGCAGAGGGGTTTCTACTTACAACCACGACGCGTCGACGCTCACGCGCTTCCTCGGCCTTTGGGCTTTGGCCTTCGTATAAGTATGGGTGTTTTTTCAGGTATTGAGTTTCTAAAAAAACTAATTCTAGGAGTAAATTAGAGCATCAGAATCACTTCTTCATTTTCACTCAAACACTCAAACTTCTGTTTCTGCTCTCTGAAGGAGCAGAAACAGTTTTAAGAATCGGATCCAAACACCGCCTTAGTACAACGTATTAGACAAGATCACAGTAGATTTCAATTCTTGCGTACATCTTCTTACACATCAAGTACACAACCCGTGTGCGGCAGAGTTTTTTTTCCCGTAAATCTTCGACGAAAATTGATTTGTTTTGTTTGTTAAAAATTCTACAAACAAAATAAGTTAGTTTTTTCTGTGTATTGGGATTCACACAAAGAGAATTTTTGTTTTAGGATTCAAACAAAATAAGGTGTACAAAAAGAATTTTTGTTTTAATATCACTCGTCCTTTGCCCACCACCACAATTGCTAGGGCGTCTCCAATCTATTTTTTTGCAATTGGACCAATTTGTCCAATTGCAGTCTTGGTCGAAACAATGGCATTAATAATACTTCAGAAGTTTCCCAAAAAAGAGTGACCCAGCTTCCTCCGTCTTCGGCCCAAACATTTCTTGTTGCGCTGGAAGACATCGACGCAACTCACAGAAGGAACAATCCATCAATGAAAAGCATATCTCCTCTGCGGACAGAGCAGCCGGACCACCTCTTCCTCCACTCCTTGGTCGTCGCTGCGTTGGTTGACACCATCGTCCTCCGCGGGCAGAGCCTAATGGAACATCGCCGCCGCCCTTCCCATGGTCTTCGTCATCCTCACCCAGACGAGTAGAACAAAAGGAACGTCGCTGCTTTGGACGTCACCATCGCTCCCTGCCGCCGCCGTCTCCGTCGCCCTACGTTCGGATCTGTGATGGCTTGGGACGGTTGGGGTTTATCCAGATCCAAATGGTGGCTAGGGTTGGTTAGGGGTATTGCGATGGATTGGGATGGGATTTGGGCCAGGGGTAGGAAGGGAGGGATTGAGGAGGGGGGCTAGGGGGCTAGGCAGGGTTGAGGAGGGGAGAGATGAGCTGTCAATGGCGGAGGTAAGCCCACCGGCGGTAGTGGTGGACTCGGTTCGGGCCGGGCCCGGTTCGGGCCTAGAACCGGTCGGGCCTCGGTTCAAGGAAGGAAGGCCCGGAACCGGCCCGGATAACCCCGGGTCCGGTTCGGTTCAGGTCACCCGCCCGGTTCACGGGCCGGACCTTTTTTTTATTATTATATATTATATTATTAGAATAATTCTTATTACAATTACAATATATTATATTTGAATTGAAGTATATTTATTTCAAATAAGAAGTACAATTGAGAATTAGGATGAATTTAAAAAATGTAATACATTTTGTAATAAAAAATCAATCGGAATCTCCGCCTTCGGTTGTTTCCTCCATAAGGTGGCGGGTGGGAGTGACGGTAATTTCTTGAGTTCTTCGTTGGGCCTTCAACCAATCGTGAAAGCAAACTAGTGTCTCAAAAGAGCTCGGGCTCAACCTCGTTCTTTAATCGGTTAGGACTATGGATGGACTCGGGCCCAGGCCGGGTCCGGGTCGGGCCTAGGCCCGGGCGGGCCAGCGGGTCAGAAATGGTGAACCCGAGACCGGCCCGGGTAACCACCGGGTCCGGTCCGGGGCCGGGCCGGGCCCATTATATTTTTTTTTTTTTTTCCTCTTCCTAATTAACCCCCCTCCCACCCCCAACCCCCCAAACCACCCCAAATGGCCCAAAATACCCAACCCAACCCGAAAATTTAAAAAAAATTGAAAAAAAAAATGTTTTTGGCCCGAACCGAGCTCGGGCCCGGCCGGGTCGGGGCTTGTTTTGGGTGACCCGAGCCCGGACCGGAAAACCCACGGGCTGGGCCTACCCGGACCGGTCACTGACCGGGCCACCGGGTCGGGCCGGGCCGGAACAGTACCGGTCCCGGGCCGGTTCCGGGTCGGGCCACCCGGGCCAGTTCCGGGTCGGGCCACCCGGGCCAGTTCCGGGTCGGGCCACCCGGCCCGAGTCCATCCATAGTTAGGACGTTGCTGGCCGCACTAAATTCTTGTTTCACGGCAACGGTTGATATCGGCATTGCTAGCACTTGCTTAGCCATCTTTGATAAAATCGGGAATGTTCTTTCATTTTCCTTCCACCACTTAAGAACGTCAAAGTCATCACCAACTTCATAATCAACATTCAATGTTAGATACAAAGAAAGCTCGTTACCTGAGCTTTGTTCAGTAGCGGGAGTTGCTCTACTTTTTTTCAAAAGAGAACCAAAAACGGATTTTAAAAGTGATTTTCCTTTAGATGAAGAAGATGTTCGTTGCATGGGAGGGGGTGCATTACCATATTGTGCATGAAATTCATTATACAATTGATGAAATAAATTACTAACCTCGTTGAATTCTTGTTTAGGGTCGATGGGATTATCATCGAACTCTTGAGTTGGAAAAAAAGAAGCATAATAGTAATCTATACAATTTGCCAAGTAAGCAAGTTTATAACGAGGATCAAGAACAAATGCATTACCACATATATGCGGAATATGTGAATAATATTTTAAAAACTTTTGTTACATGAAATCACAAAAATAACTAACGTAAGTGGCTTCGGAAAATTCACAAAAAGCGACGGCGAGATTAACAGCTTCAACAAAAAATTCGTTTGCGGTAGGTTTATAAACATGACTAAAAGTTAGAGTTGCGTTATTAAAATATGCCAAAACATTAACAATTTTTTCACAAGTGTCGATGTCAGCCGGGTTTATAATATAGTTACAAGTTTGTCTTAAAAAAGCTGGAAAATGATCTTTATATCTAACAAGTACTTGAATTAAATTATAAGTACTATTCCAACGAATAGACAAATCTTTAGGAAAAGCACAACAATTCACACGTCTATCCTTCAAATATTGTCGCCATTGCATTTTTAGTGGAGTGCTAGCCCAAATCAATTTAATTCGCCCCTTCACTACCTCCAAAGCATTTCCTAATGCCGCTAAGTCATCTTGTACACACAAATTTAGAATATGACATGCACAACGTTGATGAAAAAACCTACCCATCAATGTAGAAGCACCACACAATTCACGTAATCTAGGTATAGCAGCAGTATTATTACTAGCATTATCAAAACCTACACCAAACACCTTATCAATCAAATTATACTCAATTAAAATACGTTCAATGAGGATATAAATATTATCAGCAGTGTGACGATCATTGAATTCACGAAAAGCAAGAACACGTTTATGCATATTCCAATCATCATCAATATAATGTGCAGTAAGACCCAAATAATATAAATGATGATAAGTATCCTCCCATATATCGCTACAAATACTAACACGTCCATCAAAGTTTGCGAAAAATATTTGTAATTTTTCTTTTTCCAAGTTATATTGCCTTATAACTTCTTTTTTATTCGTTTTGCGACTATAATTTCTAAATTGAGGATTTAAAGTACCTTGAGCATAATCTCTTAAAGCAAGACTTTCGGAAAAAATATAGGGTAAATTTTCTTCAACAATTAAATGAGACATACCAGTCAAATGTTTTTTATCATCGTAGGAAAAATTACCAAAGGGTTGAGAATTTGCAAACCTCGATATTTGTGTTTGCTTCCCCTTGCCTTTGTCTATTTTCGCATACTCCACAAAGTGGGCGGACTGAAGATGCCTTTTGAGACTCCCGTATCCGCCAGAAGTTCCCAAGCTAAACTCTTTCTTGCAATGATTGCAACTTGCGTACCATTTTTCGGTTTGTTCGTCTTTCCTTTTTGTATAATTGTTTTCAATAATAGGAGATTTAGATTTCTTACCAATTTGGGTTGTAGTCGTTGAACGGCCCTCGTCCTCCAACTCTTGCTCATCATCCGGAGTCCCGTCGCCCCCCGCCTCCTCCTCCGCATCGTCATCCTCGAGCTCCTCTTCATCGATGATTGTCGGGAATTGTGGTTCTTGTGCAAAACGTGGATCATTTTGGGACAATAGGTGTTGTAGTTGCTCGTCGAACATCATCATATCATCTCGCCGTTGGTAATCCGTTTCAAAATCATCTCGACTTTGAAAAGAAGACTCGGCCCGCGCTTTACCTTTGCCTTTGCGTGAAGTAGATCGAGTCGATGCAATCTCCCTCTTGCGGTTGCGTTGGAGATTACCCACATCTACAGAATGTCTACCACGCTCCATCTTTAAAATTGAACAAATATTAGCAATTAACTAATATGAGAAATGTAAAAATGTAGCAATTAAGTAATATGAGAAATGTAAAAATTAACTAGTTTTTTTTTACTTTAATGAGAAATGTAGCAATTAACTAATATGAGAAATGTAAAAATGTAGCAATTAAGTAATTAACTAATATGAGAAATGTAAAAATTAACTACTTTTTTTTACTTTAATGAGAAATGTAGCAATTAACTAATATGAGAAATGTAAAAATGTAGCAATTAACTAATATGAGAAATGTAAAAATTAGCTACTTTTTTTACTTTAATGAGAAATGTAACAATTAACTAATATGAGAAATGTAAAAATGTAGCAATTAAGTAATTAACTAATATGAGAAATGTAAAAATTAACTACTTTTTTTTACTTGAATGAGCACTGTAGCAATTAAGTAATATGAGAAATGTAAAAATTAACTACTTTAATGAGCAATGTAGCAATTAACTAATATGAGAAATGTAACAATTAAGTAGTTTAACTAATATTAATATGACAAATGAAACAATTAACTTTAACTACTTTAACTAATATTAATATGACAAATGAAACAATTAAGTAATTTAATAGATAAACGAGAAGTGTATATATAAATTAAGTAATTTATATATATAGTATATATAAATATATACTATATAAATATATTATAAGTAATATATAATATAATGTATAACTATATATAGTATATATAATATAATGCGTAAAGAATTATAATATGAATGTGTATAAGTATATA